CATACGTCCTTACAGTACATAACGCGGGCCCTCATGCGTCGAATCTGGACCATCATGTTAAAAACGTACATGTACATGTCAAGTGATGCAGCAACCCGGACTTGGTCAATCTGCCAAGCGTACGCGCTGGTTTGTTCCACGTTTGTACACAGTCTATGGAAATTAATTCTCCATGTGATTGGCTTCTACCGATTTCGGTAGAAGCCAATCATATCACAGTATTTCAGGTAATGAGCGTTTTATTCTTACAAACGCGCGCAGATTGTTTTGATAATATTCCTAACACGCAATCAGCGTTGTCTGCGTATTCGCGCATCCAAAGCTTCGCGGAGAACGCACACGCATCCCATGGTGAAGAGTAGAAACAGATACACGCACGTACATTCGAATGCTTTGAAACGGCTCTGGGTACACACGAAGCGGTATCGATGATTCTCAACATCTTTTACAGGTTAACCCCAATAAAAATTCCCTTTTGTTTTGAATAACATTTGAATGTCGTATTCTTTATTAATTCAATCCAAGAGCAGCTGATCTTAGCATTATCATCCCAATATAATGTGTTTGAAATCTACAAATTAAGATTATGTTTTTAAACTTTTGCAGATTGTTATCCAGCCTTCCATACCTACTGAAAATAATAAACGAGTCTTCGAAAAACGGTTACTTTGATTGGTCAAGCGATGTTGCTGCATATGCATAGAGATGGTGTTGCATATGCATTGATGAATACAGGCTAGGCGCGTGCACGCGAGGGGGGGGGGGTGCTGATGGCAGATTGATCAAGTCGGAATTGCTTACTTTTGCACCACATGATTGTATGCACATGCTCTGCAATACCTGCACACATGTACGTGTAATACGCGTGTTGTATACATGTATATATATATAGTTCGTCCTTCGAAATTCGAAGATGACAGCCAACATCTCCATACTAGTTGGTGTTGTGTGTTCGCAGATGGCTAATAAGTCCAATTCTAGCCAGGAAGCTACAGTCCTACACTGGACACACTAGGTTGGGGGTGGGGGTGGACACGTAGGGAAGCATCTAGCTGACAAGATTTTCGTTGCTGTCGTTTCAGCTCAGCCTCCCTGATGCGACGGGCTTCGAAGCTTGATGCACCTTCGTGTGGTAATCTTCTCCATGCCGTTCGATCATGGGCAAGTTCTTCCCAGCTACTCACATTGAAGTTGCATTGCTTCATATGGTTGCTTTAAGGCAATCCTTGTATCTCTTGAATTGACCACCAGCCGATCTTTTGCCTGTTGTTAGTTCACCGTAGAAGATTTTTTGGGGAGTCGATCATCAGGCATCCGTACTACATGACCTGACCAGCGAAGTTGAGCTCTCATGATCAAAGCACCTACACTGGGCAATTCCGCTCGCTTGAGGACTTCAGTGTCTGGGACCTTGTCTTGCCATCTGATGCGCAAGATCTTACGCATGCAGGAAAGGTGGAAGTGGTTCAGCTTTCTGATGTGGCGGCTGTAGGTTGTCCAAGTTTCACAGGCATACAGCAGGGAAGTCAGGACTGCAGCTTGATACACACGCAGCTTTGTTTTCAAGCTTATGCCTCTCCTATTCCACAGACGCTCACGAAATCTTCCGAAAGCTGAGCTGGCTTTGGATATCCGATTTGTGATTTCCTGGTCTATGTGGACCTCTCTTGACAGGGTGCTGCCCAAGTATGTAAACTTGTCAACAGAATGAAGGATGTGATCTCCAATGGTGATAACGGGTGGAACATATGGCTTACTTGGAGCAGGTTGAAACATCACTTCTGTCTTTTTCAGATTGATTGAAAGTCCAAAGCGTGAGCAAGCCGTTGCGAAGCAGTCCATGATGAGTTGTAAGTCTTCCTAAAGTGTGTGCGCATAAAGTGTGTGTGCACATAAAGTGTGTGCGCATTGTTATACGGTACTGAAGTGGAACGCACGCTGAAGTGTACCTTGTTGGGCATCTGGAAAGGCGTAAACTAAGTGATGTTCGCTACTTTTTTTTTAAAGACACTGTAACGAAATGTAATCGGCGCTCCATACTGTTTATATGTTTCGTTTGCCGGCCATAGCTTGAGCGCTATTTTTAGAATGGGGTAAAAAGGCAGAGTTCGCGCGGATTCTGGCCAGACTGTTTTGGCGCGCCTTAGAGTGGCAGACTAAGAAAAGGCTTCGTGGAGACAGACAGAGCATTGTGTCGGAGAGTGACCGCAAAGCTTACCGTGAGTGTTGAGCAGCTGTATTGTTAATGTAACACACTCCTTTTCTTTTATAAATAGTGGTGCAATTGTGGAATTGATCCTTGGGTTTACTTGATTAAGTGAAGCTTAATACTCGTTCGATTGAAGACAGCATATTTGGGTTTATTATTGTCACCTCTGTGCAGGAATTCTCCATTTGCTTTCGTAGACAGATTTGGCAGATCTGGTTAGTGAAGCACTTTTATTGCTGAATTATCGACAAGAAAGTCTCTTTCCCTTCAGGAAATCCTTTCCCTTAAGGAAACCATTTCCCTTTAAGAAACTCATTTTCCCTTACGGAAACCCTTTCCCTAAAGTAACTCCATTCCCTTAAGAAACTTCCTTTCCCTTACGGAAACCCCTTCCCTTAAGTAAACCCTTTCCCTTGGGAGCCCATTTCCTAACGTATCAGGAGCGACAACTGCCTCGCGGGAGACGAGGGGTCGAGCTCATCAGGAGGATCGGCATCTGCCTTCGAGAGACCTCGGAGGGTCGTCTAGAAACTGGGGAAATCCCTTCCCTTAAGGAAATCCTTTCCCTTAAGAAACCCCTTCCCTTAAAGAAACCCTTTCCCTTGAGGAACTCCTTTCCCTTAAAGAACTCCCTTTCCTTTAAGGAAACCCCCTCCCTTGAGGAATCCATTTCTAAGGTATCCGGAACGACAACTGCCTCGCGGGAGACGAAGGGTAGAGCTCATCAGGAGGATCGGCATCTGCCTTCGGGAGACCTCGGAGGGTCGTCTGGAGCCTAGGAAACCCCCTTCCTTGAGAAACTCCTTCTCCCTTTAGGAAATCCCTTCCCTTAAGGAAACCCCTTCCCTTAAGGAAAGTAGGAAACCCTTCCCCTTAAGGAAACCCCCATCTTTTTTAGTACTTACCTTTTGTTGAGGCATTTTTAATAAAGGAACTTCAGTTGTTGCATGGCTGAATAAAGAGACTTCTTGAAGCTTGAGCTTGTGTGTCTGGGTCCCATTTCTTGTCTGGTTGGCTAGATTTGTCGTTCGAACAATATAAGGGAAAATTAGTTACGTGCGGCGACAGACAGTCTCCAAACGGATAATCGCCCTAGGACCATCTGGACTGCCGCTCGTCTGGAGGGTTCTCGAGACCGTCACACACTCGAGAAAATCGAGATCCGCCACAATACCGACTTAAGGCAATTCCGACTTGAGTCAAGTCTACGCGTGGCGGCGCCCTACAATCCTGTAACCTTTTACCTGCGCGCGCGTCTACTCTCTCCACACATGTGAAAGTATATAATAATGAATAGACCGCTTGCAGACGCGTTTGATAATCGACGCGCGAAGGCGCGCGACGCCATGTTGAGGGACAAGCGCATATCTATCCATGCACATTTTGTCCCACAACATGGCGTCGCGCACCTTCGCGCGTCAATTATCGAACGCGTCTGCAAGCGATCTATTGCAGGGTTTGTGCGAGTACCTGCTGGCTAATGATCAAAGGTTCCGAGTTCGATACCTCGCTCTACCCCTTCAGATTTTGCTCTTTTTTTTCAACAATTTAAAGTTTTATCTTAGAAACGTTATTTTTCAGTCGGATACTACTTGTATAGCAGCAATTTTCTTTTTCTTTTCTGATCCGAGGCTCTGGAGGATTTTTTTTAAAGGGAAATAAAGCCCGAAATCCGTACCAAGTTGAAAAATAGTAGCCTCCACTCAAGCCTGGTTATAAAAACCATGCCCCATAGGAAAGCGCACAAAGTACCCCAGATAGTTGTGTAAAAAAAATATCGCCGCTCGCCGGTGTGGAAGGTAATTCTGTCCCCCGGTAAAAGTGTCCGGGGGGACAGAATTACCTAGGTAAAAGTGTCCTCCCTGGCCCGTTAATTCTGTCCCCCTCCAGGTAATTTTGTCCCCTCCAGGTAATTCTGTCCCCCAGGTTTTTTTTGTCCCCCTCTTTTGAAACCCGGAAGGTTATTGTTTTGATGCATTCACTCTACAAGGTATACATTTTGGACTTTTAGACTGCCCTTCATGAATATAAAAAATATTTTATTTAATCTATTAGATGATACGTGAACACAATGTTTCGATTCGGAGTACGGTGAAGTCTATCGCGATTCTACCGCGATAGGTCAACACAGCGGCGATGCATGGCGATGGCCCTCGTCTCATTGATAGTATGATACAACGTCTCCTTGGATTGGTCTGTGTTCCCATCATAGCGCGTAACGAAATTTCCTATTGGACGAATTTCCATTGTAGAGGGAGACGCATATATACACATGTTATAATCACTGCCTCAAATCTTGCAGCATGTACTGGCGCGTGCGACACGCTGCTGCTCTCAGTACATACTGCATGGGGACACATTTACCAGGGGGACACTTTCACCGTTGGGCAGGGGGACATTTTTACCTGGAGGGGGACAAATTTACCTAGGTAAAAGTGTCCCCCCGGACACATTTACCGGGTCACGAGCCGGTAAATGTGTCCGGGGGGACACACTTACCAGGGAGGACAGAATTACCTGTCACACCGGACGTCACGTTGTCACGTCATGTTTATTGCATGGCCTTATGGGATACTTACCCAAGTAATAACCGGCTCGGCAAGTCGGTTACTTGGGCCAGCAGGCTCGAGTAAGTGCGAGAAGTCACGTGAGAGGTAAATCGAACGCTGTCGCGCTTGCACGAGTGGGGAAGAAATCGAACGCACTCGTAATCGCGTTGAGTGACTGGAGCAAATCTGCTTTTTACCTACCAGGAACATGGTGGCGCCCTTCCCCTACTTCCTGGTACGATATAAATACCTGTTTCACTTTTTTTCAGCGGAGTGATGTCCGATCTCCCCTCGCCTCATACGATCTTTATTTGCGAGAACTTACATGTACCCCCTGTAGGGCCTATTCTTATTTTGTATCGATCGCGCACACACAGTAAAATAGCCATAATCGGTAGACACAGTTATGACAGTATACACATGGAGGAATACATGACATAGTTCCGTATTCCAAATAAGCGAACAAGAAAAACATGAGAGGCAACTTAGAAAATGTTGCGTCACTTACTGGCCACTTGGATCGTGTATGGCACGTTTCATGGAACCCTGATGGTAAACTACTAACAAGCTGCGGTGGTGACAAAACCATTCGTGTGTGGGGCACCCACTCGAAGTCGAATGAAGGACAAGGTAAGACCTAGTCCGAAAATTTGGGACTGGAACAGTGGGAGTCGCACTCAATACTGAGAGTGAGAGTCCCAAAACTTAAGGTACAAAAAATGTATTGAAAACATGCAATACAAGAAAAGAGACTGACATCTGAAACAACCAGTCCTAGCCTACAACTAGTCCGAGTAACTTGGACCTAACTTATCGCCTTTTTTAACATTTGGACATGGTCTGGCGATAGTAAGTCCAAATGTTAAAAAAGGCGATAAGTTAGGTCCAAGTTACTCAGACTAGCCTACAACTACTCCTAGAACTATGAGGCTCCGCGCTCACGCGGAGCCTCATAGTTCTAGGAGTAGCCTACAACAACACTAGTCCGAGTAACTAGGACTCTAGGGATTGCTTTTTGAACATATTTGGACATGGTCGGGTGATTACTATCGCCCGACCATGTTCAAATGTTGAAAAAGCGATCCGTAGAGTCCTAGTTACTTGGACTACAACAACACTGGGTAATCCCATGGAGCTATAAAAAGGATGGTAGGCCTAATGCTTAGGCCTATATAGTGGATATTTTGCCGGCGGTAATACCGGCAAGCTAACGTTTACTAAAGGTTTGTCGGCAGCAATCCCTATCAACAGAGGGCGCTGTACTCTCTAAGATAGGGCTGAATTTATAAGATGTTTTAAATTACCACCAACGATCGATTGTGTAGCAACTGTGGTCTAGTGGATAAGCAATAGATCTCATGAGCGGGAAGACTCAGTTTCGATCCCGATCCTCACTGGCGACATTTCTAAGGTTTTTTCCTCATCCCCAAAAAATAGGAATATTCTTCTTTTCTTATTTTAACATGTCTCAAACATTTTATTGCAGAGTATTACATTTTCTTTTTCAGATTTGTGGCTCTGGAGGATTTTTTTAAAGGGAAATAAAGTCCAAAATTGTAAAATCGTCTGATTCCCATCTTGTGAATACGAAGTTTCAATGATAAAGTTGGCATGGAGCCAGACTAAAATTTGGCACCGGAAAATGTTTAAGTACAAAAAAATAGTAACTGCGCATGTTCAGTGCATATCCGGCAAACTAACATTTACTAAAGGTTTGCCGTCTCCGGCTAAATATCCACTGCCTACATGTAATCCTTATCTTTGGCTTTGACCTAGTCCCATAAATGTGACGGAAATACTGGACTACCTCTGTATTACTGTCACACATCCCACATGTGGTATGTGCACGGAAGGTCCCGTTGCTAGGGGAGCCGAAAATTAATTAAAGATCGAAATTATTTTGTCAGCAGAAAATCAACCCTGCTATAGTATGACTGCTTAATAGCACAAAATCGTTAAATTCGGTACCTTCAGAGGTCCAGTTACCCAAAAATCATGGTAATTCGTAAAATAATTCAGACAGTTTTGAAAAAGCATGGCGTCTCTGATATTTACCAGACTGTTTCCCGGCCACCCTAATTATAGTCAAAAGGCCAATGGTGTCAGGGAGCCAGACAAGAGCAACAACAGTCGGAGAATCATCTACTGAGCATGTGCGTCAAGTTTGGCAAAGTGCACCGTGGCTGTTGCCTGTCATTCCAAAATCTTTGAAGCCCTCTGCAGTGAAGCGCACCCTCTTGTGTGCGCTCTCCATCCGCGGCCGCGTACTACATCCGGGTACTTCACAGAGTGCCAAAGATTTTAGTCTGGTTCCCAGACCTGACAATTATTCCCCACGTTCACGTCTAAATTGTTGGTCAGGCAGCCTCCATGGCTAAAAATAAACATGACGACATTGATGGCCCTTTTTCAAAGCCTGGTTTCATTTATATAGCTTTTAATGTTCTGATCAAATTTGTAAATAAATCAATTGCGTCGTATTCTCATACAGTTATGATAATATAGTTTGATATTTCTGTAAGACAACATTGACTAATGCTGATCTGGAATCTTTAAAATAAGGCACCCAAATAGGTGGAGCCGAATGAAGACCGAGTTTTGGAAAATCTCGGTAACGGTCGTCAAATTCAAAATGGTACATGAACATGACGCAGCAAAAAGTTCGCCCATACAATCCGAGTATACTTGATGCACAAAATTGTCGTTGAATTTCAAGTTTTCTTAATGAAAGCAATAAATATTAATTATACAACACCTGAATAAATCCCCGTCATCTGGTTGGTGGATCGCTGATCAAATGTCATTGAATTATTCGTACCAACGTGCGCATGGCGCGCTGCGCACAGTGCAATGGAAGTTCTATTGCACGGTAAATAGAACATCCATTGCACAGTGTCACTGCTGCTGGTGGTGGTGCTGTTTTAAACCGAGATAAATTTAATCTGATTGTTCTCAATCTGTTGAACAGTTTACATTAATATAAATATGATGAACTTGTTGAACTTTTAAACAGTTTTTAACCTGAATAAATTGGCTATTAAAAGTCAACCAATCAGATGACAAGGATTTATTCAGGTGTTATATAAAACAAGTAAAGAATGTTTCACGTTCGTGCAATGGAAAGAATAAATTTATTCGGTGACAGATGAAATGTTCCATTCCACTCGGTTTCGCCTCGTGGAATGGAACATTTCATCTGTCACCTCATGAAATTCTTCTTACCATTGCACTCACAAACATTCATTGTTTGTATATTATCAACTCATTTTAAAAAGTTTTTAATAAGCAATTAGCATTTAATTAAGCCTATATTATACTCTGAAATACTCAGGCGCTATCCGATTGTCGACGAAACGAATTTGGCAAACTTCGGACAAAGGAGGAATTCCTCCTGTTTTAGTCACGTGACGTAAATTGCAATACAATTAGTATAATTACATACACAGAGAGCCCCAAATTTTCAGACTAGTGATATACATGAGTAAGCTTGCACTGTTATAGAGAACAACCAAAAATACTTAAATTGTCACGTTGTGTATATTCAAATAATATGATAATGTTAATGTCATCAGTTGTGAATATTTATTATGTAAAATATTGCTCTAGTACATTTATTTTGAAAAAAAGTTACGTACTACTGAACATACATGTCACATTAGTCTTGCCCCAAGACGCTAGTGATCGAGTGGATTGTGTATATTCTACCGGCATGATTAGACCCGCATGCCTGAGTGCGAGGGAAAAAAAAAATTGTGCAAGGGCGCTCCGCACAACAATGCAACCATCGCTATCGATCACTGAAGTCTTGGGCCAAGACTAACATCACATGTGTACACACGCGTACAGTCCGGATGATAATTAGCTATCCCACCAGCACGAGTGGAATACGGAATAATGTACGTTTAGTGCATCTGTGTCCCTCATGCCACGAGGCAGAAGGCTGAGTATGTGGGACTCAAGACAAACTACATTTTCCGTGTTCCACGACCGTGAGTTGGATAACGAATTTATCTTCAAGCAAACTTGTTGCACAGTAATGTAGCGTGTCGATTGGGGGTTAATCGCAACACAATCAATGACAAACACAGGCGATGATATTTCCTTGAAGCACTGCTTTATTCCGCAAAACTTTAGAGCACTACTAAACACTTCCTTAATTCTCAACTCTCAAACATGTCACTAACAGTAATGGAAATTTCCAGACAGGGACAAAGTCCTGTGTACGGGTTTTACAGTCTCTGTAGCAGGGGCTCCAATCCGCACCGTTGAAGTTGTATAGGGCCCGCAGTTGGCCGGTCATCTCAGACGTTACCCTGCCCCCTCCGAGGACACTTATTTGTCCTCAAATAAGTAACAAGGCTCACCTTGGGGGTCCAACAAGAAGGCAAACTTTCAAAAGCAACAGGTGGTGGCATCTTCTGTGCCTAGGTCTGCTCTAGTCCCGCAAGCTCCATCATGCCTGTGGCTGCTGCCTGGACCGGCTCCGCATGCTCCATCACCAGCTGTCTGGTGGCCTGTGTCATCCATCGGGAGCCATCCGGGAAGGTCAGGCATGCCCCTACATGGACACGCTGCCCAGTCTCTGCCGGTGTCCTTCCACTGCTCTGTCCCAAGCAGTCAGTCCAACGCATCTTCCAGCAGTTCTCAGCCTTGGATGGTGAGCCTTTCTCTTTCGTCTGACCAGCTGAGGGCTGCGGGTGGTCCGAGGCCGTTTCAAATGGTTTCTGGTCTCGGTCGCACGCCAGGTTGCTGGTCGGTTGGTTGTGGCTCGAAGCCGTTTCAAATGGTTTCTGGTCTCGGTCGCACGCCAGGTTGCTGGTCTGTTGGTTGTGGCTCGAAGCCGTTCCGAATGGTGACTGGTCTCGGCCGCACGCAAGGTCGCTGGTTGGTTGGTGGTCGCCCTAGGCCGTTCCAAATGGTGGCTGGCCTTAGCTGTCGGCTTTGTCGCTGGTCGGTTGGTAGTGGTGTGAGGCCGCTTCCAGTGGTGGCTGACCTCTGCCGTACACTGGGTTGCTGGCTGGCTACTGGTGGCCAAAGACCGCTCCGACTGGTGGCTGGCCTCTGTTGCAGCCTTCGTCGCTGATCGGTTGGCAGTGGTGTGACTGTGAGGCCCCTCCGAGTGGTGGCTGGCCTCCTCTTCTGCTGAATGGCACTTTGCATCTCCTGCAGTGGTTGAAGCTGCAGTGTCGAAGCCCAGTTATCGAAGCTGCTCTGGCTCTCCCTGCAGGGAACCCACCAGCTTCACCCCTATGCAGACCCTTTTGTGCCATGCCCGGATTGCAGACTATAGAAAGCTTGGCCGCAGCCAACCCTGCATTCATATGGCTTTGTCTGATGAATTTGTTCACAGGAGGTCCGCAGGTGGCGCCGTAGGTTGGTTTTCCTTGTGAAGGCCCTTCTGCACAGCTTGCACTGCACGTCATGTTGTAACATCTTCCCAAGTTGTTTTTCTACTTCTTTGCACTTATGGACTGGCATCCTCCTGGCTGGTTTCGCTTCCCCTGTTGCAGCTGCGGTGACACACCCGACGGTATGGGCTGAGTAAGCCTCACTCAACTCCACAACGTCCTGAACTTCCACAGATGAAAAGAGTACCACCCGGGTCCCTTTGTAGATTGTTACTGGGCCAGCTGTGGGATTTAGCACCTGAATTGGTACAGTCCCCAGTCTTGTGTCGATCAGGCTGGTTGCAACTGCCACTGGACAATGATCTCTCGACTCCAAGTCAGGGTATATGACCCCAATTCTTTCCTCTGCTCCAATCATATGTGGCAATTGACCCTTCATGATTGCTTCATGGCCAGCTGGCCTGAAAGTGTTTTCGAGGATGTGCACTCTTGATACCGAGTACCGATCTCTTTCATTGGTTTGTGCACAGTAGATCCTTTCTGTGTAGTAGGGATTGGCTTCATTGGTTTGTGCACAGTGGATCCTTTCTGTATAGTTGGGATCCACTTCATTTGCTTGTGCACGGCGGATCCTCTCTGAGTGGTGAGGATCTGCCTCATTGGCTTGTGAACGGCTGATCCTCTGGGGTGGGGGGGGGGGGGATCCGCCTCATCGGTTTGTGTACAGCGGATCCTCTGTTAAGGGTCTAGGATAGCCTCATTTTATGGAAGGGAATTAGGCACTTTTAGGATTTTTTCCAAACCCTGGTACATTTGGTATCATTGGAGAGAGAATCACACAACAAAGTGAATAACGTTTAAATCATTTATGAGCTTTCGTTTTGGAGATATCACAAAATTAAATGGCACAACAAATTCAGTGAAAAAATTTCCTTGTTTGCAGTGTCAAAATGTTATGAAATTTTCCAAACCTATCAAATTATTTAATATTGGAATCCTTATTTAAAACATTAATTTGATTTTTGAATCAGCTTTTTATCTCTCATTACAAAAAAAAAGTATATTTTTCCAGATCACCGTACGTTGTCCGAGCCATATCTGAGCCCACACCACGATACGACAAGACAGTGCCAGACAGCCCGCCGTGAGACACAGGCAAAATACAGTTCCAATCCCGCTTCGCACAATGCGGCAACACGGATTATGCGCCTAATCGCTGTTTCCGCATGCCAGACTACAAGTCTAGCAACAGACTAGACCTGTAAACATGGCTAGAGATGGTAGAATGGTAGGAACCCTCTGAGGTATCCGTTCCCTCCATCCAGCGCATGCACATATGATTATTCCGTGTTGTTTGGACAAATTGACAGCTGTTTAATCACAGCCAAATAGACATTGGCTTAGACAAGTTTCCAGTCCTCTCACCACACTGCACCGCGCAATCACGCCAAAATAAATGGGACAGGTATGTGTATAGACTCGTGCACTTCAAAAGGTGCAACATTACACTAAAAGGTGGAAAACGTAAAGTTTGGCTGAGCAAATGAAAATAAAAAGGAATTCCCAAGCAAAGCTGCATAGCCAAGTGAAGTTGAATACTACAAAATAACATCCTTGTACTCCAAATAGTTTTGTTTATGTTCATGTATCAAAATAATTCCACTGGCAAGGTGGCTGAGGCTTCAAAAATTGTATTAATGAATTAAAACCTATAACTGTCTTCATAATTTGACATTTTGATCGTCATAGTTTCCTTGTTGTAAATGCAGGTTCTGACTGGACATGCAAAGCAGTTCTTCAGGATGGCCATTCTCGAACTGTGAGAAGAATAAGCTGGTCTCCATGTGGCAGTTTACTGGCATCTGCAAGTTTTGATGGCACTACTTGTATTTGGAGTCAAAAGAATGCAGAGTTTGAATGCATAACTACATTGGAAGGACATGAAAATGAAGTGAAAAGTGTCTGTTGGTCTCCCTCTGGGTCTTTGCTTGCCACTTGCAGTAGAGATAAGAGTGTTTGGATTTGGGAAGGTAACGATTTTTCTTTCATCATATGAATCCTTCACATAACTAATCTAATCTGAAAGCAAGTACATGTATCTACCTATACATGTACATGACCTTGTTAAACCCAGAAAATAAAAAGAAAAAAGTGTATACTCGTGGTTAAACATTTCATAGCATTTGCAGGTCAAATATTTTGTGTGTAAGCAAACTTGAGGAAGAGGTCTGTTGCTTGAAAACATGAAAATACTAAACAGCGGTAAACAAAAATAACTTTGCCCTAAAATCATGTGTGTTTATGAGCATTTTGCCTGTGTAGTTACTTAATTCACTTACGGGCTTACTTGCTGCACATGCGCAGTGTGAGACATCCACTTAGTCTTTGCATGTTGGCAACATTTTACCAACATATGCTGGCGCCAAGGTGGTATAAATGTCCAAATTTTTCTACTATATGAGTTTTCCCAATGTTATACCCCGCAGATATATATTTAAACTAAGTTTCCAATAAAACTCACCATATAATCGACCGGGCTATATTTTTTAAAGGAATATTTGTTGCTTTTTTTTTGCCATGAAAATTAACCATGAATCATATTGCATGAGGAGCAAATCAATAATTATGAATAGAAAAGTAATATAGCTCCCTATTAGTCACATGGAAGGGAACATTGACATTGATGGCTTCAATTCCATAGGTCTCACTTTCTTAAAAACTCAGATTTTTAAGAAAAACAAATAAATATATTGTAATAATTTGACTACGAAGCATCAATAGACCTATTTATTAAACAAAAATTAGAGTAAGAAAAGACTGATAATGTCATGCCGCGTTTAAGCCAAGGAACAAAGGCTGATGGCATTGAGTGGGATAGACAAACTAAGTGGCAGGCACAAACACATGTGAAATATATTCAAATGAAAATAGAGAGTTACCTGTAACAACTGTTCATGGCCTTGTTCATTTTAACAGTTGATCATGAGGATGATGATTACCAGTGTGTTGGTGTTCTAAGTGTCCACACCCAAGATGTGAAGAATGTATGTTGGCATCCACATAAAGAGGTAAAGATGAACTGATTTAAGATGTTTATTTCTATATATGGGCAATTTCATGGTAACTCACATTACATTTGGAGGGGATCTTCCATCAACTCTGTGCTGTTATTCTATAATGTCATTATTCTATAAGATCCCTTGAAATTAAGTGACTAAACTACAATGAAAAGGGCCAACAAAATGATCTTCTGTTGCTTTTGCAATAAGGTATTTTTTTGGTAACTCATGTTACACAAAAAGGACAAATAGAAATATTTTGAATGAGTTGCATTTGAAAGTTTTCCTCATACTGTGCACGGGTGGAAATATCTTTATAGTGCCCTTCCGTCATTGGGGTAAAGTCATATTCTACCATTTCAGTTATTAAAATATAATCAATCATAAAATCTCTAGAGGGATATATTTCGGTAATACACTTTGTCTGCCTATCTTTGTCCAAGTTTAAACACTTCAGAAACTAGTAATCAAACAGAAAAGCTCTTTTTGCCATGTTTACATAGAATATGAAGCCTTTTCTCTTCCTCAACCCTCCTATGTAAACATACATTCTGTGCCAAGTTGTCCTTTCAGTCAAAATCAATCCAGTGACTGTTTTTCAACAGTTAAGAGCTTTGACTGAATTTGACTGGTCACAGTGCTTGCTTGAAATATGAACTAACTGGTGACTAGCCTGTGTAAAAGGCATGGCAAGGGAAGAGGAATGAATTTTGACTGTCTGTGGATGTTCAGATAGCAGCAGGGTAGATCATATGTCATGTGTGCATTTTTTTGGTTTGGAGCAACAAAAGTGCTCAAAATCTAAAGACGGGTGCTTGACAACTAACCTGATGAAGTTTTAGCTCTGTGAATGCTGTATATTCCGAGAAAACAATTTTCTAGGATCTAGGTTTCAATTCAAAAGTTGCCCAGACATATTTAGAATTGAACCCAAAATCAGCGTTTGAGACATGTTCTCATTCAGCCAATTGCAGCTACGGGATGCAACGAACTAATCTGACGAATAGTGGCAACTGTGGGGGCATGTGCATCCTGTCAACGCTGGCGCCCACCCATTCACGGATTAGCCAAATGACAAACCAACTACTCACAGAAATTTCCAAAAATGTATTGTCATATAAAACTTTGCATTTTCAGCCATGTCCTCATTCTCATGGAATTGCCCATGATGTGAACGTGTATGCATATATGTACACGCGTATGAGATGCCACATTTGAAACCTATCTGCCCCAAATCACAGTTTATCCATCCTAAAGACAAATGGACATGTCGCTAGATGAAACGCTACCCCAGTTGGTACTGATATCTAGTCATGTCACAGGATGTATTTTTCAGTATACTTGACATATTTGGAAGAGGCAACACTGAAATTGACCAACACAGCCTTATTTTTTTTACTTCACAGGTACTTGCATCATGCAGCTATGACAACACCATCAAAATATTCCAGGAAGAAGATGATGACTGGTGCTGTGTTTGTACACTAACTGGTCATGAAGCAACTGTTTGGGGAATAAGCTTTGATAAAACAGGCACACGATTAGCATCTTGCAGTGATGATAACACAGTGAAGATATGGCAAGACTGCAATCCAGATGGTCAAGATGGTAAATGTATAGATAAAAACACCTATCTTTTGCATGCCTAACATTAATCAGTATGAACTTGAAATTCTTTAAATTTTAAATCAAATACTTATTCCATGCAAAGCATTATCTTTAGAAATTGTTCTTGTCCCAAATGAAAAAAAGCAGTGTAAATACGATATGTTTTTATTTCAACAAGAACGTTTACACATGGTGGAAAAAAGATCGCATTAATGGGCCCTCCATGTTAAAATGGTTTTTAGAATGTAGCACGCATTCACCTAACTAATCTGTGTTGAAACATGTGACTTTTCATCTTATTTAGGTGGTTCTTCTAGAAAAACGTCATGGAAATGTATTTGTACATTGTCTGGTTATCACACAAGAACCATCTATGACATTGATTGGTAAGTTGTTTCAATATTTTATTAATGAGAAATGTTGATTCTGTTACGAATCAGGAGTGAAAGTCACAATAGACTGATCAATGAACCAGTTACAGCTGTGACTGCACAACCAAATGTCTGACAAAAGTAGTTGTGCATGACATTTGTAGCTGGATCATGCAGTATTGTTTGGGGGATTTTATTTATGGATAAAGATCACAAATTAGCGATTTCCACTTCGGATGCAGAGAGCCACATCTTACTCACATGAATGGGAGTAACATAATACATGACACAGAAAGTGCAAGAATGAGAAAGAAGAAAGTGCAAAATTAACATACAGTAAACTCCGGCTAAGACGGTACTTTCGGGACCAGAGAATTTGTGACGACTTACGCGAATGTCGGCTTCTGCTGCAAGTCGTCATTTTGCCGACTTACACAAATACACAAATTGAATCACGGAGTGAAAAAAATAGATTGAATTAATGTCCTATGCGCATCTGTATCTGGATCATGCAAACAAGATTCATGGCTAAAATTCAAAGGCTTTGATTTACCGTGGTTTATTTTTACATCCATGGTTGATTCCAGCAAATATATCCTCAATGTTTATCATCACAAACAGGCTGTGGTATTGATCACAGAAAGTCATGCATGTACATGTACGTACGAAGCAAGGACGGCGCGGCCGGCTAGCGATAACAGTGGTACGATATACAGATCGCTTGCATACTGTACGTCCATGTACATGTAGTGTACATTGTGCACGTACGTACGTGTACAGTCACGAATTGAATGTGTGCGTGGTACTGGTACAATAAGGGGACCCCCAAAATGAACAGAGCGCATGCGTGCAGTCGAGAGGGGGTACTGGTATTGATGTGCTATCGGGAAAACCCCTTTTTGATCGCGCACGTGGCTGTGGGCTATATCCATGTATTTTGTCACAAATAAAATGCAGAGTACATTGTATTACAAAAGTAGAAAGCTGTAAATAAAAAAAATCTTCACCTTACAATTTTTCTTCGCTTTTCATTTTCATTTAATGTCTTGGCTTATTTGTTAGCAAACTGGATTTCTGCCGAAACCATGTGATGAGGGCAGAATTCACATCATCGTAAGTTACTTGTTTGACGCGTTTTATACTGCCCTTCCTGGCATCTGATTTTTCCATAGCTTCGATGATCTTGTCCTTGTTTTTCAAAATGTCAAACAAGGTTCCTCGAGGAAGGCCAAACTTCTGAGCCAGATCCACCTTTTTCATTCCAGGATTGGCTTCACAAAACTTAACGATATCGTACTTTTCTTTGTATGATTTCGTCTCCATTTTCCGTTTCTTTGAACAGGTTTTGGATGCCATTTTCTTTTACGGAATGGACATGTACTTTGTGTAAGCAAAGGATGCACACAATGTACAGACTGTGCATGAAACAGTGTACACATGCGATTAGTGTACACGTGCTGGCCGAATGATCAATCACGGGCCGTGCCATTGATAAAGATGTCAGTTAGCAGTGTGGGACTTATCACTCGACACTTCTTGCAAACCGCAGAGCACGATGCCGACTTATACAGAGGAATTTGTGTGGTTTTGAGGAAATGGGACTGAAAGTAACACGCCGACATAGGCGAAATGGTGGCTTACAAAGGCCGTCTTAGAAATGAAAATGTCAATGGAAATGCATTAGGGACAATCGGGACTTTCGTCAGACGGCCAATTTAAGCGATGTAACGGTTTATACGATGTCAGTTTAGCCGGAGTTTACTGTAATACTAAATACTTAAAGTACATGTAGTGTTACAGGTACATGTACAGTATAACTTAAATAGATAAATTACTAAGTAAATTAAAAAGTCTGATGGGTCAGGTGGCGGTGAGCTTTCTGACAGAACTTCCTTGTTTCCACTGTGGTGCGGATGGCCGACTATTTCATCTGGCAGATTGTTCCACACAGGGATGATGGCAGGCAGGAAGGACCGGTCGTATTGCTGAAGGGACCAGTAGCTGGTCGCTGTCCTTCCTATAAGACCCTGTACAGCATGGGTGCCGATGTTCTGTCTGCTCCAAGTTGCCCTGGTTGGTCTGAGTGGAGGAGGTAGCATAGATTGAATTAGCTCAGATGACTCCTCTGTATGCATCTTGTAAACAAGACCAAGTCCTGACACGGTTCTTCTGCGTGCTAAAGGTTCAATTGTTACAGATCCTGGAAGAACCTTGATGATAATCATCACTCTCTGCTGGATGTCATCCAGCTTCCCAAGCTGCGATTCACAAGCAGACATCCAGCCAAGAGGGGCTTATTCCATAGTGCTCCTGATATGAGCCTTAAATACAGAAGCTCGACCTTGGAAGTCCAGGTAGGGGGCAACCCTCCGGAGGGCACTGACTCTCTTTCCTGCCCTCTCTGAAATTGGAGAACTTGACTCCCAAGATGTTGAGCTCATCAACTCTTCCAGCGTCACACCACCTAGGATGAGATCAGGTTGCTCTGATGGTTTCTTCTTACTCAAGGTCATCACCTTGCATTTCTCTTGGGCAAGATGACCTTCCATTTGAGGCCATTTGAGCAAGATCAGCATTTAGAGTTGCAGCTGACTGAACTGGGTCTCCGTCCTTTTTTATACAGTACAGTGTGCTGTCGTCGTCATAGAGACTGATAGAATTTTTCAAGTTGTCACACGTCATCAATGTACATCAGAAACAGTGTGGGTCCCAAGATGGAACCCTGGGGTACTGAAGAACTGATACTTGGCTGTTGTGATGTCTGACCTCCTGCAACCCCCTCGATGTGCCAGTCGTTGAGGTAGCTGGCTAGCCATGATAACAACTTTCCTTGACTTCCTCTAGCCTCCAGTTTAGCCAGCAGCCCATTATGTAGTTGTGGCCCAAGACGCTAGTGATCGATAGTGGACGGTGCATAGTGTGCCCTCTAATGGCACAACAATTAGACCAGCAGTCCTAATCACACTAACATCTCATTATTTATTTACTTTATTATTTATTAGATAATTTATCAGGGCACGAGACAATTAAAATATAAAAATTTAAGACAGTTTTAAACTCAGTTACATAAAAATTGCTGGACACGACAAAAACGATCAAAAGGACAGACTACAAAAGGTTACTATGCACGAAACTATCAAACAAACACATTAAAACACATTCGACATTAAATTGAACCATATGCAGGCCTGAGGGATTTCCTAAAAATCTACATTCTCAAGTAAACAAATTTCTTTGTTGATGAGCTAAATTCTATTCGCAACTATAAACTCACTTGAAATGTTTAATTTTATAGAAAGCATGCACATTGTTCACATCGTAAAATTACGTTTGGATCTAAAATAAAAACAAGGCAGTGTCCGGAAATTGGACACAAAGTTTATTGTACGTACCTGCATGTGTAACTGCAGCGCAGCCCAGACTTTAGACACACATTGTGTTCGGACCCCCAGCACTTTTTTTAATTTGTTTTCCCATAGGTCAGTTTCATCACTAATAATAGGTATATTTACTATTTAAATGTTTCATGTATGTGTTTAAAAAATAACAATGATAACTAGACTTATGTTTGTGATAACTAGACTTATGTTATAATGAATGGTGTCATATAAATATGTGATTATATTCTCATAGGGCCTTGAATTATGACGTCACAGGTCACGTGATGACGTCACATCACTTTTCATCTATAATCATCTGTAACAACCTGCCGTTAGAGGGCACTCTAACATTTTATGACGTCACCGTTATTTTTTGGTAAAGAACAGCTTAGCCAGAGCATATACATCGTTGAAAGCAAGTTCACATCTTTTACCAATTTTAAATCACAAGGCACTTCCAGTTTCAACCGGAAGGAAGGGTCACGTGATTTTTGCACGTTGTATCAAAAATGAAGACCCTGGATTATTCTATTAATTCCTGCAAACGTCAAGTTCAGATCTCTCATGGTTGATTTTATATGACGTGACTCATGCTGACGTCATCGTCACGTCACTTCATTTTGTTGTCTATAACACATCCCGGTCTAGGTACATACCAACTTTCAACCCAATCGGACCTGTTGTTCTGTAGATATAGGCCTTCAAAGTATGCACATTTACTATGACGTCACTTGTCACGTGATGACGTCATCATAACGTCACTTAAATTTTCATCTATAATACATCCCCGTTTAGGTACATACCAAGTTTCAACCCAATCGGACCTGTCATTATGGAGATATGGGCCTTCAAAATATGCATCTATATTGTGAGGTCACGTGACTCGTGATGACGTCATGATGACGTCAATGTTCGGCGACCATCTGTGGGTGGCTGTCTGTGCCAGGTATAAAGGCAATTGGATTGATTTTAGTGCCCAAATTGCCGGGAACAAAAAAACGTGTACAATGCAATGGGCCAAAATGACTGCAAAATAAAAAAAAGAGTAAAAAAAAAATTAAAATCTTAACGAAAACAAAGGCTGTTTCGGCTGGTTGCCGAAACAGCCAGTAATAATTACCCTGGATTGGACATTTGGGAGACATCCCCATAGACTTGTGCACACAATTTTTCAAACTTAAATGTGCCCTCGCCCAATATTCCCTTGTCCTTTTTCCACGAATTTTGGTATGTTTACTAATTAGACCCGAGCAACAAATATAACCTAATTGCGACTATAAAATTGTGCCTCTAAAGGGGGGCTGTGACATTAGGGAGACATGAAAATATCTCCCTATAATGACCGATGTCTCCCATCGTGCAAAGAAATTACGATAACGTGTCTTCTTAGTGGTGCCTTTACACGTAAAATTTCTTTACTAGCGCTTTATGCTTAAAACAACTTCACTATTTCACTTTATATATCAAAGTAAATGTTAAAAAGCACTGTTTTAATCATTTTACCAGTGCTCTAGTCTAAAACACAAACCCCAATTAATGGTTTGTTTTAAGGCAATTAAATTTTGCAAATTTTTGCTTTCTTGTGGCATTGGAATAAGACAATTTAACCTTCCTGCTTGACTGTATTTTACGTAAAACATGCCAAATACAAAAATATCATTTGATTGAAGATTTTATTTGTTGTTTTCATTAATAATTTGCTGCACGACAATATTTGACAATGTTTGCTTTTTTACCAGGTGCAAGCATAGTGGGCTATTGGCTACATGTTCTGGTGACGACACGATTCATGTTTTTCAAGAAAACAGCGTGGGTTCCAGTTACAAGCCTGGCTTTAGTTTGATGGCATGTGTAACGAATGCTCATTCTGAAGACATCAACTCAATCAGGTGGAATCCAAATGGAGATGGTTTTTTGGCATCTTGTGGAGATGATGGCTTTGTCAAAGTTTGGAAATACTCTCAATGCTGAGACCTTTTCACATGATTAATACCTGTACATTTACCTAGGTCATGACTGATATGTTGATAAAGGGATTTGTGTGGACAGTTGTATCTTCCCAAGCAACCTTTAGCCATAGCATAGGAAAGAAAAGCAGAATATTTTCCTTACTGAGAAAGTAGATGAACCCTGTAATTCAAAAAAGGTAACCATCGTACTTGCCATTTGCAAGTGATATTGCAGTATTATTGTTCATGTGGTCTTAGTATGCATGCATTGTTTAATTATTTTTATTAGTGGCTTTCTGCCACATCAAGATTATTTGTTTCTGGTTGGCCCGTATTATTTCATACAACTCTCAAGACCAAATAAATAACTGACAAATTTTCACTGCACAAAAGTGTTTCAATTTGGAAGAAGATGATAGACGGCAAAAGTGGTGTGCATTTGTGGGTAGTACAGGAACCGGGTACTCTATTGTGATAAAACATGGGTAACCGGGTACCCGTAAAAGAAACCCAACCCCAAAATGCAATTTCCACCAGTTGTTTGAATGGCTTTAAAGCTTTACGGTGTAAAGTGCAACTTCTGCTGAGTGTCATCTGTAATTCTTTTTCATTGTCTAAAGTGTACTATGTAATTTGTATAGTTGGATACGGGGAACCCGATCCTATAATCTGGAACCGGTTCCTGACATCAGCAATCAGGTACTCGGGTGCCCGGTTCATATTAACATCTCTATCTGAGAGATGATATGAATTTATAACTTGTCAAAACTAAAAATTCGTCTCAAAATAGAACCTGGAGTTTTGGATTTTCTGTGTTAGTTGGATTGTAACACTGATATGATAATGGGGAAAACATTTTCTATGTCAGATTCCTGAAGCCTTGACTTTGTTTTGAATTTACACAAATTCCTTTCATATTCAATATACAGGTAAAATAAAAATGACAGTTTATTTGAAAGCTACAGTCCATCAATTGCAGCTATCCAAAAAGTAACTGATGTAATTATTGTTCAGAAGCTTACTTGGTTTAAAGATAATAATTGGACTAAACTCCCTGTGAAATTATACTTTCAGGCAAGCTGTCATTTTGAAGAAAACAATCAAAGAAGGCCTTTCTAACGATGCGTCCAAAGACGGATCATTGGAAATGTCCGTTATTAGTTCATTTTTAATTGGGCAAAGCGCGCGCAACCGTTGACACGACGCACGTGCACGCGCAGTTGCGATATTCGTCGGTTGATATAGTGGGCAACATCGCGTAGCTGCAATCAGCTCGGTGAGAACGTGTCTCAAAACATGACTCGGCAACTTTTGATTTGAAATCAAGATCCTAGAATATTGTTTTCTCGGAATGTACAGCATTCACTGAGCTGAAACTTCATCGGGTTTATAGTTGTTAAGCACCCTTCCTTAGAATTCGAGCACTTTTTTTGATTCAAACGAACAAAATGCACAAATTACAAATGATGGACGCTACCTTTAAGTGCTATCCCATTACGGTTTCTGTGATTTTTACAATTAATTCAAAATAAATGGGCATTGAACAATGCATGTGAGAAGTGCAAGGTCATCACCATAAAGGTAACAATTTTTCCCACTTTTTGCCTTGAAATCAAAATAGGCCCATTTGCTTTTTGTGCATACTTTTCCTTTTGGAAGAACTGAATTGCTCACAATCTTCAGAATTACAACTTACTTGTTGAAGTTTCGGCACAGTGGATACTGTACATTTTGAGAAAACAGAGAAATGCACAATTTTGAGGGTCTAGTAACTGGATTCCACTGCTTAAAGCTAAACACTCATTCAAAAATCTGTGCCCGGGCACGTTTTCTCAAACCACCATGAGCCATTTTATTCCAAATGACACTGTTTCGGGCTGAATAATTTGGTTGCCAAGTAGATTCCCTGCGTCGCCAAGTATTGATTCCCTGCCTGTCTAGCCAGGTTCCGATGGAGTTATATGTACCTGCGGATGTAGGCTTCAGCAGTGACGTGGGTTGGGTGGATGACCCAGTGGATTTGGTGGATGTTTTCAGTGGATAGCGTAGATTACTGGTGGATTTCCCATTGGATTTGGTGGATTAACCGGTGGACATTATAGGTGGATGAATGGTGGATATGGGTTGATGACCGTTGGATTTGGGTGGATGACCGTTGGATTTGGGTGGATGACCGTTGGATTTGGGTGGATGACCGTTGGATTTGGGTGGGTTTCATTGGAGAGCACACCTCTAATTAGCAATAATTAGACAAAATAGTATCCCACCTCGAGAAGAACATATCGGGTTTCATCTCACTCGCTCTGCCTTTTATCAGCCATATGGTTGCGAAGGGCGATTTCTAAAGGTTAGGCCAACGTAACACTTTATTTTGAATGAAACTTCATGTACACAGACATGTTCACGTTGGCGGGTGAAATCTTTGACAATTAATTTCTCCCGTTTGGAAGACCTTATCTTCGTGCAACTTTCAGGATTTATTTCCCCTATAATGATCCAAGTATGTGCTAAAAGTCGTGATAATGTTCATTAATTTTCGTTGAAATTGGGAGTATAGGCCTCGCTACGTGCAATTTTGAGAATTGTAACACCGGCGTGCGCAATATCTATCAATCTTTTCAAGCCTCACGAATATTAATGAGGTTCCTATCCATTACAGTGTGCAGTGAACAATTGGATAAAAGCCTCCACGAGTTGTTAGTGAACAAATATCACCCTTTTTGCCGGCTTCCATTGGTCGATACCGAGACCCACGCCGTGCCACGCCGATTGACGCTAATGAATATGCTAATCTACCATACTGTAACGAAAATGCAAGTCATGATTAATTTCCAGTATGCACACTTTATTCCTCACTCTGATAAGATACAGGTTCCTTTCATAAACTTAATTGATAGGACTTACGGAAGGTAAGAAGATAAGTTTAAAGTTAACAACTTGTATTTCAATGAGAAGAATTAATGCCAATACAGTTGACTGTGTACTGATAATAGGGCCAAAGATAAACTAATGGTAGAATAACTGTTAAATGAAATGACTTGGACAAGTTTAATTCATCGAAGCTTTATAGGTCAAGACACTATGATTATTATGAATAAGAATCAAATTTGGCGCAGTGATTTATGGCCAATCAGAGCATTGCAAGAGACATTTTGTTATGATGCGCTAGCTCCTTGCGTTATGTACGCGCCCAAACGCTATAAAAGACAGCCAAGTCAGGGCTCGGTGTACTCAACGTTCGATTGCAATGCACATTGGCGCTCCGCCTCATCGTTATCCACATAGACATTAGATTATACCCATCGGGCACGGTGTGTGCTAACAGTATTGGAAGACAATAAAACCGTTATTATTATTTGAAGAAGAACACGATCTCCCCAGTCGGAATTCTTGTTTTATAGTCTCTAGTCATTTAGTACTTGAACTGGTAATTTCACGCCCGTTACAATACGTTATTGTGTTGCTTGGCCGAAATCGGTCAGCCGTAGCGCCGAAAAATGCACATGGGTAATAATTTTTTTGATTCTCTTCGAAATTTTCCTTGGAGATGGTTCAAGCTGTAACATTAGCGTCCGCAACAACAGATTAAGCTGAAATTCGGAATATACTGAGATAAATAAAAGTGTTCAACTACTCGTGAAATAACAACTGGGATAAATTCCTAGAAATTGGGATGAATACATACATTGGGGAATTTTTTGAACGATTTCTTCCAGACTTGAATTTCAGCTTTGACAGTAACCAGTATTGACGTTTCGGCATTGATGACGACGACTTTTTCACGGACATGAAGTTTAGAATTTCTTCTTCAATTAGAATGTAACATGTCAATCATACCGAGCATATTTTCTGAGAAACACAACGTTCAAAAGGCCATGTTTTGGGTAGACTTGACTCAAGTCGGAATTGCTTTTAAGTCGGTATCTTTAAAAAAAAAAGTAGCGAAAATCACTTAGTTTACGTCTTTCCAGATGCTCGACAAGGTACACTTCAGCGCGCGTTCCACTTCAGTGCCGTATAACAATGCGCACACACTGTATGTACATGTACAACACGCGTATTACACGTACATGTACATGTGTGTGCATGTATTGCAGAGCATGTGCATACATGTGGTGTAAAAGTTAGCAATGGGTTGCTGCATCACTTGAAAATAACATGTCCATGTACGTTTTTAACATGATGGTCCAGATTTGACGCATGAGGGCGCGCGTTATGTACTGTAAGGATGGGACGTATGCAACCTCGTTCTCAGGGTGTCGAACAGTACGCGCCCATCACTACCTGCTCTCTCACCCTGGTATTGGATCATTTGCATGTGCAAGATTTTTGCACACGTATGCAAATGAGGAATAGTGTGGTGCCTTGGATATGCTTTACATTAGCGTTTGTTTTTGTATGCGGTGTCTGGGGTAAAAACAGTCAATTCGTCGCAGCACGAGCACCCATCATTCAGTTTGTCTTAAACTCTTCGACTCTTCGAAGTGAGTTACTATTAAAGCTTACATGCAGCGATAGACTTTGAATACAAAACTTGTTAGTACATGTATAAAAATCTAAGAACTTAAAACTGTACCAACGTTACATCAACCTTTTTCATGAAACATGTCCCTACATTAAATAAAGATAACAGAACTTTCCAGACATTTCTTTAAAAGGTTTCCTCGTTTAACTAAATAAGATAGAACATAGAAAATAAGGTGGATCATAGCCTCTTTCTTCAAATATAATTGTAATACGTCATTTTTAGTTTTATAACTTTAAAAAACTTTATAACTTGATAACTTTAAAGGTAATGTTTTAACTTTATAACTTAAAACTTAAAGGGTCAAAGAAATGAATTGTTCTTCGGAACTACTTTCTACTCTTCAATGTTTGAAAATTATTTAAGTAAATTTGACATCCCGTGTTGGTTTATTGAAAAGTGCACTTTTTAAACATTTAAAATTGTCCATGCTTTTTCGGACGACTGAGGGTGTTGGTGCTGTGATGTCATTTCAGAAACTGTTCAGTTAAGGGGTTTTCTTTTTCAAATTGTGAACCCAAACATTTGCTAATTGAAAGCGTCTGGGAGAAAAGTTTGCTCACTGGCTTACTGCCATGTACAGACACAACAATGAATCACAACAGAAAAGAAAATTAAGGACAGCAAAATACCCCAAAATTCCGGCAACTTTGGGTACTGAAATAGCTGTTACATTGAGGTTTCTGCCTGAAATGACATCACACAAAATAACCTTGAAAATGGCAAAATGAAAATTGAAAATAAAGTTAAATGGGATACAAAGGTGCGTTTTCAAGGATTGCAGTAAAAAAACAAACTGCATTGCATGGGCCCTTTAACCTACAGGGCGAGTTAAAAAAAAAATCGGAAACCAAACACCCCCCCCCCTCCCAAAAAAGAAAAAACAATCCTTTTGTAAACAAAAATACTTAGCATCAAACTTAATAATGACAGGAAAGCTACTTTTACATGAAAAAAATATTGAAATTGCTCAATCCGTTCAAAGAATATCACCATTTAAACACAATGACCCTAAAACCTCTTTCGTCCAAAAATGCGATTTCGAGAAGCGTCGTCATAATTGTCTTCAAACATCACCAGCGATAAAACCTCAGTTTAAAAGTAAAAAAAAAAAAACTGTACTAAAAGTTAAAAAATAATATTCAACAAAGTTCTTTTGAATGCCTTTCTTTAAAAAAAATAAAGAGGATTTTATAAAACATTGTTTGCCTAACCAGTGTTGTTAATAAAGATATTGTGTACTACAGTTGTTGACAGTTTTTTAAACAAGTATTCTGTGTCATTTTCTTTGTTGTTCCAAACAGTCGGAATACACAATAAACTGCTTTTTTGACGAAACAGGTTGTTGGGTCATTGCGTTTTCAGTAATTTTTTTCATCTAAAAGTAGCTTATGGCTTTCCAGTCGTCATGTATTATGTTTGGTGCTACATGTTTTTTTTAAATATGA